ATAATATTTTTATAAGAAACAAGAAGAGTATGAATGTTGGTGGTGGCTTCAGGTATCAAGGAGCAGCGGGTGCAGGGCATGACGGCGTTAGAGCTGCCGACTGTAAGCCGTTTTTTTTCTTTCTGTTGAGTTGAATATATAAAGAAATAAAATATTTTATGTTAATATAGAAGTAAATAAATAAATAAATAAATAAATTTGTGTATTTTATTCATGAACTGATGAAAACTAAAGATAGGGGAAGATCGTTATTTCACACTTCTTTCATTGCTGTTTAGCTCTTTACGGTATTCGGGTGTATGTACAGTGGATGCGGTGTTTCTCTCTCTGCTGCAGACATCACCAGATGATATTGTGCAGGCTGCAAAGGCGATGGCACAGTCAGGGGATGACTCGCAGCAGAAGCAGCAGCAGCAGAAGCAGCAAAAACAGCAGCAAAAGCAGCAGCAGCAGCAGCAAACAAACGGCCATGCAGGAACTGAAAAGAGGGAGCATTGTACAAACGACCAACCTGCTGCTGCTGCTGCTGCTGCTCCTGAGAAGCAGAAGGCAAGTCCCAAAGGACAACAAGCAGCAGCAACAGCAGCAGCAGCAGCAGCAGCAGAAAGGCCTTTCGACGACCCTATGCGGCTGGATCTCCGCGTTGGCCTCGTAAAGAAGGTGTGGAGACACCCGGAGGCAGACAAGTGCGTTTCTCTTCTTATTTACAGTTGTTGCTGCTGAAATTAATTAAAAGCAGAAGAAGAAGAGAGGGTAGAGAAAAGAACAAAAGAAAAAGGCTGTCTCTCTGTATGCGCTGCTGCTGCTATCCCCCTACAAGCTCTGCAGCAGCAGCAGCAGCAAATATTAACTATTGAATATAAAATACTATTTAAAAAGAGTATACACCAAGGACGTCATTGTGTGCACATTTGTTTGTATTATATTTATTATTATTATTAATATAAATTATATTTGTCTCTATATTTATTTTTATTTTTTTTTTCTTTTGTCTCTGTGTTATCTAGACTGTACTGCGAGGAGATTGACTTTGGCCCCCTTGGCGTGCGTCAGATTGCTTCTGGTTTGGTTCCGTTTCTGCAGCAGCAAGAATTCGAGCAGCAGAAGGTTGTTGTTTTATTTAATTTAAAGCCGAAGGCTCTCAGGGGTTTCAACTCTCACGGCATGGTTATGTGCGCCAACGCAGAAGACAAGAGCGCCGTGCAGCTGCTGCAGCCGCCCCCAGATACACCCGTAAGCATCTCGCTAGAACAACAACAACCATTCGGGCTGCTGCTGTAACTCCTCCTGCTGCTGCTGCAGGGGCTGCTGCTGCAGCTAGTAGTGCTGCAGCTGCTTATTCCTTTTTGATTGATCAATGTAACGTGGAGGGAGAAAGTTATGTGTGTTGTGTTTTTGTTTATTTGTTATTTTAATACTTGCTGCTGCTGCATGCATGCATGCATGCATGCATGCAGCTGACTTAAACTGTTGCTGCTCTACAGACTCGAGTGTACGTGACCTCTGTCTTCTCCTTTAAACACTTTTTGTTGAATTTCGCGTTGTCTTTGGTTGATTAAGACAAAATAAAACAAATAAAATAAAATAAAATAAAATAAAATAAAATAAAATAAAATAAAATAAAATAAAAATAATATATAACAAAATAAAACAAAGCGAACCCACACTTTGTTCCTTCTATAGCTGTAAAGGCCCTTCTGCTGCAGTCTCTAGATCTGTTAAACTATCAACGGTTGGCGATAGTTATATTTTTAACTAAAAAATAACTATCTGTGTTTGCTGCTGCTGCTGCTGCTGCTGCTGCTGCTGCTGTTTCTTCTGCTGCTGCACTTATTATAATTGGCGCATCGAGCTGGTGTAAAATTTTTTTTTTATGGATTTGTTTGTTCTGTGTAGTGCATGCATTGTTTTATATTTTCTTTGAATAATTTCGTTGCATGCATCTGTATTCCTGCTGTTCTTTTCGTTTGCCGATGCATGCGGTGTATGTACAGCTGGGGGAGAGGGTTATCGTACAAGGTTTATCTGGAGAGGCAGATGAAGTGCTGAGCGCAAAAAAAGGAAAAGATACGCTGGCCCTCGTCTCCCCCGTAAGTAAACAAAAAAAAAATAATTTGCTTCTGCTGCACATTGCTTCAGCAACACACTCCGCCGTGGGAGGAGGCGTCAATATATATATATATATATATATATATATATATATATATATATATATATAT